GGAGGAGGAGGAGGAGGATAAGGAGGGAGCGAGGGGTGGCTGAGCCTGTTGGGTAAAATCTATTACCATAAACTAACGTAAGCTAGTTTAACTCAGATGTTGTCTTTGGCCACATTCTCTATTTTGAATATTTTCAAGGATGAGGTTTATAAAATATCCAGTCCCATGTGGAGCAGAAAGGTGTCTGTTGGGTCCACCAGTGTGGTTTATTTTTCTGCCACCATATGTGGTGATTCTAGTTCCTGTGTGCCTGCTGAACTATATGCTAACTCTAGTTATATTTAGGATTTCTTTGTCCTGGGCCCAAACAAAAGGGCTCAGGAAGGCTTACACCAATGTAAACCACCCTTAAAAACAATACATTCCTGTAACAAAGTTACTCATTACAGTATGTGCAGGGCTTCCCCTAGGAAATGAGTAAGCAAAGGAAGCAAGTCAAAAAACAGATTCTTTGCTCTTGATATATGCTAAAGTAGCCCTAACGCTTCAATAACTTTTTTCATATTTGCTTTCACTACATCCTGACAGTAGAACATGAGACAGATAATCTGTGAAAAAAAGGTTCCTCTGGCTCCTCCTGGTGCTCCTAATGCTATTTGGCCTGAACGAAAACAACCAATCAGAGCAGAGAAAGATAGAAGATTGTTGAGTCTCATTACCAGGGTCCCAAAGGGTATGTATTTGATACCTTTATCGCCTCTGATGGGTTGTTTTTCTTTTTCACAGATTATCTGTGTCATACACTAAGTGTGTGTACTGTAAGGATACAGTAGAAGTTTCAGCAAATATGTCAAAAGGGTATTTTTATAAAAAATGCCCTACTGCAGCTTTAAAGGAATAGTTCCACATTTCGGGGAATACGGTAAGTTGCATTCTTGCAGAGTTACATAAGAAAAATGTTACCTCACTCATGTCTGTATGCTAAATATAAAGCCACCAGCAGCAGCTTGACTGGCTCAGTCCAAAGGCAGCAAAATGTGTCTACTTGCATATAAAGCTTACTTTTTACCATGTGCCGTTTTATGCAGAGAGCCAGGCTAGCTGTTTACCAAACTATTCTTTTTAATAATTGGGCTTGAAATAATAGTTTGAAGGGTTCAAGGACCAGATCAATACCACATAACTGTTTAGTGCGTGAAGTTTGGCGCTAAAGCTGTGAGCAGGTTAGCTCAGTTCAGCATAAAGACTGGAAACAGCGAGCCTGACTCTGACAAAAGTTTGAAAATAAGCGTAAAAATAAGCTCACTGTTTAACACAGCCTATGTAGTTTAATTTCTACACAAGCAAAAATGTGAAAAAGTTTATTTATCCTTCTGCTGTTCGCAAAGAAACAGTTAAAGCACTTAACTCTCCCTAAAAGTTGTTTTGACATTACTGTTTGTGTACAGATTACAGAAAAACTGCTGGCCTCAGCTCTGGAAATGCCTTCTTGCTCTCTGACTTTGAGCAAGAAGGCAAATGAGTGTATTTGTCTCCTGAATAGTTCCTAACGTTGACATTCAAATTCTAAATCAACATTTGAGTTCAGTCGGTACTAAAACTAAAAACCAGTAGTATTGGCAAGAATTTGGCGATGTAATACGTATCACGCTACAGGGGCTACAATTCAATGTATTGCGTTACTGTAAGCGGGCGATAGATTGCAGTTTTTCTCATCTCAAAGTTTTTGTATGCAACCAGAACAGTTTGATCTACATTTAAATGTATCCGTCGTGTAACATCCATCCAATTTCATATCCCTCAGTTTAAGTTTACAACACCACCAAACACAAGAAACGATACAATATCACAAAACAAAATAATGAAATACAATATTTCTTTTATCTTTTGGAACACCCCTAGCGACCAGGTTGTGTCAAAATGTGGGACTGTGTGTAATGTAATGTACAAAATAAAATGAAATGTACTGAAGTAATTCCATGTGTTTTATTGTATGTTGCAGCTTGCAGGAGGTGTAATCCTGGGCGTGGCCCTGTGGTTAAGACATGAGCCCAAGACCAGCAGTCTGCTGGAGCTCGAATTGAATGGGTCCCATGCCCCCAGCACCTTCTACATCAGTATGTATCTCATCTGTTAATAGTTAACTGGGGTTAACTGACACGGAGTGGATTTATTCAAATGGAAATGCTCTCTTTGTTTGTTTATTCTTTCAGTTGTTCTCCTCTAATTATTTTGCTCGGGATCTGACATTAGCCTGAATTTCATACATCTATTTAATATACAGACCGGGATTTTATGTCAATGTCAGATAAACAGAGTTTAAGCAGGATTACCTTTCACTATAGTCCTCAGTGTAGAGACTTAAAGAAATACAGTGATAAAAGAAGGAAATGTGCCATTATAACAGTTCTACCATATCAGTATTGGCACATCACTTACTTTAATATTATCATATTCATTGAACTTAACATGGATTTAGACGTAGTGCTAGAAAACCTAAACATTATACACAGCCTTTATCTCAGCATCTGGTTCACTTCTGTGAAGAAATGTAAATTGTCTAATAAAACAATG